ACTTCCTGACAGTGAGAACAATTAACCAGTGGAACAACCTGCCTCCAGAAGCGGTGAATGCTCCAACACTGGAAGTTTTTAAGAAGAGACTGGACAGCCATTTGTCCAAAATGGTATAGGGTTTCCTGCCTGAGCAGGGGGTTGGACTAGATGACCTTCAAGGTCCCTTCCAACTTTACTACTACTACTACTACTACTATTATTATTATTATTATTATTATTATTATTATTATTATTATTATTATTATTATTATTATTATCTAATGAATATTATCAATTGAATTAAAAAAAATTGAATGGAATTTAAAATCCATCTCTGCCTTCTGTAAGTCCAACAAATTACTTTTTTATCCATTTCAAATGAATGTGTTAGATCAGATCAATCTAATGAAAGACTCGGGGGTTCTCTGTTTCCAAATTTTGAAACTCTGCTCGAATATCAGATAAGGCCAAGCTTGAAGATAATGTCCAAATATTAACTAATAGTCCAATTGTTCACATCAACCATATTAGTAAAAATTGGGAGAAAGAAAACATTCTTACCAGTTCATCTTTCTTCCTGAATCCCGTGAAGCATAACACAAGATTCGCCATATTTGTGCAGTACAATGGACGACACGCGAAGGGTAGAGGCTGAAAGAAAATCTGATTAATACCATTTCCAAAATTTTCAAATTTTTATTTATTAAACTTATTTTAACCAAAAAACCACATTCAAAAGCCTCTTTGATATAGTGCTATTGCAGGGCCTTAAGAAAATAGGACTCTGAATTCAGGAGGAATAATACTAATACCAATACTAATAACAGCAACAATAATTTATTAGACGTGTATGCCACTTGACTCTTTGGATACATTCCAAAGAAGACCCCTGAGAAGTTTTAATCCTAGGCTGTCACAAGACCATAGCAGTCTCTCAAATAGGCTGAATTCAAGCACACAGCATTTTAAAGATAATGAGTACTTTGTATTTTGCAAGGACAAAATGGACAGTCAGTGCCAACTTTTTAACACATGTCTGATGTGGCCTCTATTTGCTTTTCCCAAAGGCAAATTAGCTGTTGGGTTTGCATCAATTGCCAGTTCCAGGCTAGACTCAAGGACAGTCCATGGAAAGCATCTGATAAAGTAAAAGACAGAAGTTGGTAGCATGTGCCCCACCATTTTAAGGTCATTTTCTTCCAGTAAAAGACAAAGTTGCTATTTCAACGAAAGCCAACCAAAATTGTTCCTGACTGTAACCTCAGTCTGTGAAATCAGAAGAGGCTCTGATCCAGAAGCCTCAAGAAAAAAAAATTGACCTTATTCAGAACAGGGAAAATCTATCCTTATGGCTCCTGACAATATACAGTACATCATCTTGCTTGGATTCAATTTCATTTTAATATCTCTCATCCAGCCCATTACAGACGTTAGCCAAGCATTCAGAGTACCATGTCATTATTTGAAGATTTCACAGAGAAATACATTGAGTGTCATCAGCCAACTGACAGCACCCAACTCCATACTCCTAATGATCTCTCCCAGCAGGCTCGCTTAAATGCTAAAAAATACTGGAAAGAATGACGCCCTGAGGGATGCAATATAATAGCATGTCCTCAGACGCTCATTGCCGCCTATAGAAAGTGCTAGAAGGTGTTTTGTATGGTATGAAGCATCTCAAAGAGAAATGTGTTTCTCACACACCCCAAAAAGATGAATCATACTGACATTGTAGAGCAAGGACCTCATTGCAGCAAATTACATTCAATTCACACAGCCCCAGCAGCAAAGTTACTAAATATTTTTTTCAAAGATCACGTTATTAGACATTTGGAGACATTATCATTTTTCATAAATAACTGTAGTTTTTTTTTAACAAATCCATACTGTTGCCTATTCAGTACTTTGATGACTTGCTAAAGTTCAATATATTTTCATACTGGTAGTTTTAGTGTAGTTTTGCTATTCCTCCTTATGCATAAATTATTTTAAATATGCTTCTGATAAGAATAGCAGTATGTTCAAGTAAAAAAATGTTTTGAATTCAATGACAGGAAAAGCTATCAACCGTATTCGCAAGATAAATAAAATATATTTTAAAAGGTAGCAATTTTCCATGTACTTTTATTGTTTTCTTACCTCGCCTTTTTTAGCACACTGAAACACCACTGGGGGCCCAAGGATCCTGCAGTCTGCCTTGTACAAGTTACTAAAAATGGGATCTTCAAAGTCTGATAGTACAAAGACAGCCTCAGCCTCCGGTGATTCAGAGTCATCATACGTTTTCATAGATTCCATCTTTATGTAAGACACTTTAATATCCTGCATTGTTTCAATAAATATATATTTATAAATAACACATATAGCAATAGCACTTAAATTTATATACTGCTTCATAGTGCTTTACAGCCCTCTCTTTACAGCATATTGTCCCCAACAATCTGGGTCCTCAGTTTACCAACCTCGGAAGGATGGAAGGCTGAGTCAACCTTGAGCTGGTCAGGATCAAACTCCTGACAGTGGGAATGCAGAGTTAGCCTGCAATACTGTGTTCTAACTACGGCTCTTGTAGGTTTTCTATGTTGTTCCCCCAATGAAAGATCTAACTAGGCTTCTGAGTGCCGAGCCGTGGGACAAACACAAACAAACATATGACTTATTTTTTTTCCAAATAGAAACAAGACCTATCTAATTTAAATTCTCCATCATCAGTATAAGACTCATTAATGTTTAGAGTTTTGCAAAATCTGAAACCAAAGCAGGCATGTGAGATTGGTGCTTCTGTTCACCTGTTTCCACAGGGTACCATTCATTTCTACCATGCCTTTCATTTATCCTTCTACTAAGTTTTGATAGTAGTGGCTTCCCTCTCTCTACTCCAATCCCAAGAGACACCCTTTTTCCCCACTGTTTTGTGGATAATACTTATTATTTTTCTTCTGGTTCACCAGAAATAGTTTTCATTATCTTATAAATGGAACTTCCATTGTCTTAAAGCTGCATAGGAAAGGAGAATTTCAGTATGAGAACAACACAGTAAAAATCAGAGTTTCAGCTGCAGGGATTTTACTACTATCAACAAACAAATTCACAAACCTCTAAGGCTGTTATGAGTTTTTCACATCTGGCAGTTTCCTGAACTAAAATCACCTTGGTTTCAATTGGGGGTATTTCCTCTGTTGAGAAAGGAAGGAAATCATCAGCCTACAGAAAACTTCAAGGGTTAAAGGAAGAAAGAAAAGTGAAGAAACTGGAAAAAAAACAGGTGATTTGTCTACTACATACATCCTAGAACAGTGATGGCGAACCTTTTAGAGACCGAGTGCCCAAACTGCAACCCAAAATCCACTTATGCATCGTCAAGTGCCGGGTGGGTGTGGCTCATTGGCTGGGTGTGGGCCATTGAGTGGGCGTGGCCAACTGGGTGGGCGTGGCTGCAGTGGTAACGTTAGACTGGGTGGGACTAAAAAGTTCAATCAATTCCAACTTTCCAAGATCTTTTTTTTTCCCGCGAAAAGTTGAAATTGACTGATTGAACCTTTTTTTTTTTACACACGGTGGCAGAGGCCTAAAGCGAAAAGGTTTTGTAAAACCCAGCTGAAGGCCTAGGACTGGGGCGACGGTGCACGTGCCCACAGAGAGGGCTCTGAGTGCCGCCTCTGGCACCCGTGCCATAGGTTCGCCACCACTGTCCTAGAAACAAAATCCCTGTATCCAAAGTTTCTTGAAAAGCAAATTTATTCCCAGAACAGAAATATTTTAGCGGACTACGTTTTAACCAATTGGGTACAGATTGCAATAGGCCTAGTTTTTAAAGTGAGCAATCAGAAGAGTCATCATTACTCCACATAGACATTGGGTTATATGAGCCGTTGGTCTCTTTCATATAAAACAGTATTATGTGATGCAAGGATGCTTTACATTTTGAACGAATTAAGGAAACTACCCATGAAAAACAATAAGAAATCAAAGGTGCTTTTTTCAAGAAGCAACAGGACTTTCTTTGTTTTTCCTTGAAAACATTTCGCTTCTCATCCAAGAATCTTCTTCAGCTCTTTGAACTTCTTGGAACTCTTCAACTTCTTGAGACTTTTTGAAACTCTTCCATTCTTCTTGGAAATCATTCAAGAAGCTTCTCCAGCTCTTTGAACTGAAGAAGCTTCCGGGATGAGGAAGGAAAAACAAAGAAAGTCCAGTTGCCTCTTGAAAAGCTTCCTTTGGGACAACCAAGACTGAATGACTGAGAATCTCCATAGACAATAAGAAATCCGTTTTCAAATACAATAACCCAGTAACGATTTTACCAAAACCCCTGCATACTTAAAGGAATTGTATTAGCTGTCCTCAGTAACTATACTATACTCAGGTTTTAATGCACTCAGTAAGTTGAGATCAGATTCAGGAACAAGTAACAATATGAGCAAATGTCCTTCCAGTTCTGTGAATATTTATCTATATTATACTTACATCTATATAGTTTGCACAATTCTGGAATAACACAGATCACACGTTTAAAGTGACCATCTTACTTATCACCTTAGTGCTTCCACCCGTATCCTTAGCTTTATTTAGAAAATTGATATAGCTGCCTATCTTAAATACATAACTGGGCAGCACATAATCCATATTTAAATAATATAAAAACCTCTATAACCAAATAAAATAATCCAGTTGAGGGAAAACAATAACCAAGATATTTCATTAAAAAAAAACCATGTATTTTGGGCTCCCCTAACATCCCAGCCCTAATACTTAAGGGGAAAGCAAGGTTTTAATAATCTCCCTGAAGGCTAAGAGGGTCAGGACCATCCAGACCTCAGGGAGGGGGCTGTTTCATAGGCAGGGGCTTTGACAGGGAAAAACTTCTCCTTGGATACACAAGATGGCACTGTATGATAAAAGGGGACTTGGAGTATGTCCATCCTGTTCAGTCTAGCGGAACAGACAGAAAATCAGATAGACAGTTCTGGGAATAACTTGGCTTCGTGCTATGCAAGGCCTGTAAAGGTGATAATCAGCATTTTGAATTGCATCTGGAAGGATACCGGAAGCCAATGCAGCTCAAGCTGCAATGGTGTTGCATAAATGAACTTTGGAGCACCTAAGACTGCATGTTCCACTGTGTTGTGCAACAGTTAAAGCTTCCAAGTTTTCTTCAAGAGCAATTCCTCAAAGAACACACGACAGTATAATCCAGCTGGAAAATGGTTAAGGAATTAGTGACAGGGATCTGAGCTTCCCAATTCAGAAACAAGTGCAACTGGGGCACAAGACCTATAGAAACCTGTAGGATGCACACTCCTGCCAATACTTTGCAAGCAAGGTTCACACACTGAATTAAACCATACTCCTGGTGCTACCATGAGAGGACCTACAGAGGTTTTCCTCCCAAGCCTTTTGTTCATGAAAAGGGATTACCAGAGTTTTCCTAGCTGGTCCACACTCAGCCCAATAATTTGAATAAGGAGCAAACAAACTACAGATAGTCCTCAACTTACAACTGTTCGTTTAGTGACTGTTTAAAGTTACAACGGCACTGAAAAATGTGACTTATGACCGTTTTTCACAGTTACGACCTTTGCACATGATCTCCACATGATCATGTGACCAAAATTCAGATGCTTGGCAACTGGTTCATATTTATGACCGTTGCTGCGTCCCAAGGTCATGTGATCACTTTTTGCGATCTTCTGATGAGCAAAGTCAACGGGGAAGCCACAATCACTTAACAACCTGGGTTACTAACGTATCAATGGGAGTGATTCACTTAACAACTGTAACAAGAAAGGTTGTAAAATGGGGCAAACACACTTAACAAATGTCTCACTTAACAACAGAAATTTGGGGCTCAATTATGGTAGTACGTCGAGGACTACCTATAGTATTGTATCAGAAATGTGCATTGTTATTTCTAGTGAGCTGCAGAAACCTTTGCAATGAGCTATTAATCTTCCACAGACCAGGATCAACTCAGTTAAATGCATTGCATCATTTGCTCCCGAAGCGGAAGGAAGAGTTATTCTTAGCTCCATTATTTGGGAATTCATCTGGCACAAGCCTTCAAGAAAAGACTTAGTGTTCCTGTTGACACTTTTCAAACATTTTAGTTCTATATGTAGAACTAGACTTTCTGGTTTAGTTCTTTAGAACTTTTACCTCAGGGAGGAAAAAAAATCAAGCTAAGCAGAAAAGCAGCAAATTTTTCAAAACGGCAGACTCCTCTCCAAGGCCTGTTCTCAAGAAAGGTGGTTTGCAGGAGGAAAGAGTTGGTCTTCTCACTGCAGTGGTTGTCCTCTGTGCTGGATACCACAGGAAAAAAACAACCTTCTGATGAGCCAGTTTTAAGGAAGCATTCAAGACAGGGTTCCTAGGATGGACAGGCTGCTTGGGAAAACCACTTCTCGTGTTGGCTTGAACTGCCAGTTTCAGATAGCACCAGAGTCCAAAAGCTCTGTGTTCCTTGTTTGAGCTATTCTCGGTGTAAGACCTAAATAGTGTATCTTATCCACTCAGTGGTTCAGTGTGAGGCCTCCAGTCCTCTCCTGCACTGGTGAGATTAGAGGTCCTTGTGCTCTTTGAACTTGGTTGTGTTTTTTGCAGATGTTTCATTATTCAAATATTGTAGGTAACATCATCAGTACTCGTGAGATTGTTCCAAGAAGGACTAAGTCTTGTAAAACATATTTCATATTTTGCATTACATTTATTAGAATCTTTCTAGATTTCACCATCTTTACCCATTGAATAGCAAGCCCTGACAGAGAAAGCCTCGTTAGTGAAATATTTTACAGAACATCCATTTACAGATCACCCAGCCATCCTCCCCCAGTTTCCTCTTAACTGAAGAAAACAATTCAGTTATGGCATTTTCGTAATGTATCTATGATTTAATATCTAAGGTGCCTTTCTATTGCTATTTATTATTTTTACTGAAGTTCGTAGCACCTTAAGGTTCCATTCTGATGCCAAAAAGAAAAATAGAAGCTTTTTACTTCGATAAATAAATGCAACATATAAGCTTGTACGCAGACAGACTACATTATGATTTTTATTGTCTTCATGCCTACGGACATCGATTTCTATTATAAATAAATTACAAGCGTGCATTTGAATGTTTACATCCCGTACACTAAACACATGCAGAAAGAACCACTAGCCTAAAAAGTACAGTGTGGGGGGAAGAATACACTAAAATAAAATTCTACATTACCTTTACAGTCAGAAGCATCGGGGGTGAATACATTTTCCTTGGAATTTTCTATAATTTTTGAGTCAAGAACAGAAGAATCTGCCAAGAGGCTTTTCCTTGTATCAAACATGAATGTAGTGTTCTCAGTCATGGTCAAAATGGCATCCCTCTTCTACAGCTGCACGAGAAACATCCAATTCAAAAATATGACAATAAGTAGAGTAATCTGCTTAAGATGGTTAGCGACACTGTAATTTTGAGGATTCTCACATTTCATTACTAAGGTTTTATCTTTACAACCAATATCAAATAATCCTCCCCTCCCCCATTTTATATTTCTACTGCTACTGACTGCTGTTTCCATTCAAGTCTCCATTACAATATGAAGACTCCAATTGGATTCCTAAGATATGCAGAATCTCTCAGCTGAACAATTACCTATTAAATAAGGGGAAAGGCAGAATTAAAGATAATATTTAAATGTGTCTGGGAAGACATGTATCTTCATAACTTACAATTACTGAGATTGTAGTGCTGCCAAAAAGATGTAGATGACCCAGCTGAAGGAAATTATATGGCCCCCTGGAATTCATCATCCATAGAACTGGCAGACTAGCCCAGAATAAAGTAAGGACATGCCATTGATATAGAAAGGCAATCATTTGCCATCTCCATGAAAGAGTATAATCAGACTTGGTACAGGCTAAAAAAGGATTCTCAAATATTCTGAAGCATACATACAACATATACCCTTTAATAGTGGACCATTGGTAAAGGGAAACAATTTATCAAGACTGAAATTGACCTACTGCTTTTATTTTGAAGCTATAGCTAAAAATCATTTCTTAAAAAAAATAGGTTTAGAGTCATCATTTTATCTCAGAATGAAGTATTTTCATAACATAAAAAGGACAATTTTATTGTGTTTTTAAGTAGAATTGCGGATACCATGTTTTGCTAAATACAAGCCCAGCTTTTTAGCTATAATTGGTCTGCCTAATGTAAAAAAAAAGTGTATAACTCATGTGATGGAGGATAACTTCTCAATACAATATTTCTTGCTCTATTATAACAGTAGAATACAAAAAAATGTTTTTTAAATTACCCTAAGCCTTAACAAATGTTTAATCAAAACCCCAGGAATTGTATCTATTGGAACCAGTGCTCTCATTCTAGTTTTTATTCTGTCTGGGTCAGGACATCCTGTCTTTTATTTTTGGTAAACACAATGTAGCAAATCAACAGAGATTAAAACCCTACATGGAAAGAAAGATGCCAAAAAGTTAAAGCTGGCTTTTGACTAGGTTGAGGAACATGAGGCAATATTGCTGATGCACACCGGATTATTTACAAAGCCAAAGAATACTAAAAAGAGTCAGTATGTGCTTCATTGATTATGGAAAGCTTTTGATTGTATTGATTGCGTCAAACTGCAGAAAGTGCTCAGAAAAGTAGGAATCCCAGACATATCATTATCCTCATGTACAAGTCAAGAAGCCACTGTACATCAGAACAGGAAGAAACAGACTGGCAAAAGGATTGGATAAGGCTCTCCTTCTGAGAGCTGAATGCAACAAAATTTCATTTTAATGTATGCTGATTAGTGTACATTTAAAGTGACAAAGTTATTCTACTTTATATACACAACCCTTATGTATTCACCCTATTTGCTGCAGATACATTGAGGGAACTGTATAGGAAGATGGTTTTAAAATTGGAGGAAGAAACATCAACAGCCTGTGCTATAAAATGAAGATGATGCTACATTGCTAGCCAAAAATGCAAAGATTCTGCAAGCTTACATGCTGAAAGATTCAGTGGAAATAGCTTGCTATGGGTTCCGTCATTTAGGAAGGTACATTTGATGGATCTTAGACAATGAGCCTTCTGAGCTGTGGCACCAAGATTTGGAACATCCTTACCCTGAGGTGAGACTGTCACCATCACTCTTGACTTTTCAAAAGCCCCTCAAGATCTGGTTTTGTCATCAAGCCTGAGGAACACCAGGAATTAAACTGGTGAGGTTGCTCTGTTATTATTAACATTCCTTTGCTCTTTATTTCTTTTTCAGCTGTGTTTTAATAGTTTTTAAGGCTTTTTAATCATAATTATTTTTACCTTTGTTGTACACTAACAGGGTCACCTGCTAGATGGGCAGCTACATAAATTTGAAAAATAAATATAAATGTCAAATAGTGAAAAAAAAATGGGACTAAAATATAAAGACCAAACTAAGGGCAACAGCTAGAACAACCAGCCTTAGAGCTGACAATGAAAGATATCAAAATGGTAGTTTCTGCGTTTTGGGATCAACCATCAACAGTAACAAGCAGTCAAGAAATATGCCACAGATTAGCACTTGGTGGAACAATCATGGAAAGCCTTGGTTGACATTCAGATCTGTGATGTATCTATACCTACAAACGTCAGAATAGTGCAAGGCATGTTATTTCCTGTGACACTCTCTGGAGGTGAAAGTTGAATCTTAAAGAAACAGGATAGGAAGAGGACACCCAGCAGCAGCAAGTTATAGTGGTTGTGAGTGCACCTTTGGGAGATTTGAAAAAACAGACTAGGAATAGATTGACATCGAGAAAATCTATTTATGTGATTGCCAGGAGTTGAAACCTACTCATCTGAACTGATAACGAGCCAAAGTCATCTAAGTGGCCTACATGCCAAGACTAAAACTGTTCTGTTTTTGTAGACAAAACAGAAAAAGTATTTATGCCACCTTGAATTGTACAAAATAAAAGTGGATGATAAATCCAACCAATAAAATCGCAAAGGCCTTTGCAGAGGTTGACTGAAGCCCCCTTTTTTCTTTGACCCCATCCACTTCTGCCATCGTATTTTCTTCCCTTATTACATGCCTTTTAAGAATGCATAAATTGCCCAGAGCCACTGTGAGTTGGGCAGCCTATACATTTAACATATTAGTAATAGTAATTACTACAAATTACTATTATATTACATATTTTATAATATACCATTATAATAAAATTACGAATCTTAAAATTATCCAGTTTTTAATGTTTTATATTGAACAAACTGTACACCGCCTGGACCCCTCTATGAGGGAGATGGGCAGTTGAGAAATTTGATATATACATAATTTAGTAAATGATAACAGAAGCAAGGTAGATGAGAGATTAAAGCTCACCTCCTTTCGCAACCTATAGCTTTCCAAACGGGGTAGATTTGCACCCCCATTCATCAGGTTCGCCGAGGAGGATTTAATAACCTAAGCAGGTGCACCCAAGCAATGAAGGGAGGACAATTTCCTCCTTAACGTAGCCTATCACAGAAGCCTTCTGGCTTCCAGGTGAACCCGGTCTGACTCTTTCAGAACATCCCACGAGTTGCTGGCTGTGGATTATGGGAGCCGTAATCCCCCCCCCCACACACACACACACCGCTTTTGAAAAAGGCTGGGCAGCCACTTGGGAGGGCTTGCAATCGGACACGGAGCTACGAGAAGGGTCTGTAATTCTCCCTGCCACCCCACCCCCGGTCACGCTGTCGCTCCTGACCGACTCGTTTCCCGGCTACACGCTCACCCTCCACCCGCCGCCTCACCGTTCAGGGTACCATCGCGGTCCGCGCACCAGCCACCATCCCAGAACCACCCGCGACACCCGCACCTCCCAATTCAAAAAACGAGCGTTCACTCTCGGCCGGCTCCCGATTGGCTGTCTCGAGGAGGGGAGGGGAGGGGAGGGGAAGCGCGCGCGCGGCTCGGTTCTGAAATGCCGAGCTCCTATTGGTTGACGATTCCAGGAGGGCGTTCCAGGTTTCCTTACCTTTACTTGAAAATTCTTCAGAGAACGGGCATGTCTGAATGGGCGGTAGCCTATTGGTCGAGATGAGTCTCCTCCAGCCTATGACGAAGAGGGGGGGGGAATCTTTTCAGCTGACACCCCGTTGTTTCCCGCCTCTTGCGGGGGATGAGCTCACCTGAGATTGGTTGGAGGATATGAGGAAAGGCCTTACCTTTCAACGGTTGTTGAAGCGATTGAGGGAGGAAAGACCGGATTTGCCGTTCAAGTTCTACTGTTTCAGCTACCAGGGTTGGTCCCGCCTTTGATTTAAAAAAAAAGTTCCAGATTTGCTCGCGGCTCTCCACGCAAGGATTTCTGGGAATTGTAGTTTTGAAGATTCAGATCCAAACATATTTTGCTTTTGGAGAATAACGGATGGGCCCAGCCAGGTCCCCTGAAATTATTATTGGCGAGCCATGAAACAAAATATAAATATCAATATATAATATTGATATTTTTTCATGGCTCACCAATAATGTAGTTTAAAGCAAAACTTTATGGTTTACCAAGAGGTTTGGTAGCCTGATTCCCCTAAGACAGGGGTAGGCAACCTTGGCTCTTTTATGACACGTGGACTTCAACTCCCAGAATTCCTGAGCCAGCCATGCTGGCTCAGGAATTCTGGGAGTTGAAGTCCACGAGTCATAAAAGAGCCAAGGTTGCCTACCCCTGCCCTAAGAGATGGTTACTTAGAATTTGATACTACAATATCCAAGGCTCAACCAGAATTGTCACTCAGGCACAAATAACCAGGCTCAAATTAGCTTAGTTTGGACACATGATGAGAAGACCCTACTCTCTGGAGAGGGCTCTGATGCTGGGAAAGATGGAAGAAAAGAGAAGAGGATGATCAGCAACAAAATGGATGGATTCAATTTACATTGGCTGAGTGCGCCATAAAAGAACAGGTTAGAGATTGGTCATCACGGGCAAGATCTATGTGGTTGCTCCTAGATGAAAACAACCTAACGGCATATCATCAAAATCATATCCAAGGTAAGATTCTCTCAGATTAAATACAGTACATTCAACCCATCTAAGCTGATTAGTGAATCAAACCCCGAAGTTTGTACCAGATGCTAAACCATAATATACAGGTAGTTCTCAACTTATTACCACAATTGAGCCCAAAATTTTTGTTGCCAAATGAGACATTTGTTAATTTTGCCACACTTTACGACCTTTCTTGCCATGGTTGTTAAGTGAATCATTACAGTTGTTAAATTAATAAAATGTTTGTGTGAATCTGACTTCCCCATTGACTTTGATTGTCAGAGGGTCACAAAAGGTTATCACATGACCTGGGATGCTGCAACCGTCATAAATACGAGTCAGTTGCCAAGCATCTGAGTTTTGATCATGTGACCATAGGGATTGTGCAACAGTTCGTAAGTGTGAAAAACAGTCATAAGTCACTTTTTTGAGGGCCGTTGTAACTTTGAACTGTCACTAAGTAAACTGTAGTAAGTCGAGGACTACCCCCTAATTGGGCAAGACTGACTTTGCAAGATGGTAAATCAAGATTCATGCTGACTAAATGGGCCTGGTCAATTATGGTGTGAACACAATATCAAATTAGCACATTTTATACATCTGTTGAATTTTCAGTGAAGAACACAAAGATTGTCCACATTCATATGAAGACAAATTCCATTGCACTTTGTTCATTCAGAAGAAAGGTAAAACCACTAACATATTTCTTTAAGGAGCATTTTATTACTGCATATGTTTTTCCTGTTTTGTAAGTATTATTCTAGGTCAGCCATAAAGATATCAACATATTGAGGCGCCATATATGTGCCCATACCTAGGGCATTGATTTCATTTCTAGCTACATGTTATTGCCAAAGAGGAAATAGTTATGGGTGTGGCACAAAGTGAGGCAAGGCATGCTGCTTTGGCATAAGTACTAATGTTATTTTGACTTCAAGTCCATGTTCACTGCCTTGAGTTATTTATAAAAAAAATAAAGACGAGATAAAAAAAATATATAGTGCCTCAATACCATAATAGCTAAAATGGCATTGTCAATGAGATTGCCTACGGAATGCTATCATAAAGAGAATCCCCTAACTCCACCTCCTTGAATTCTAAATATGAAGCTTATTTATGTATTTATTTTTTTCTATTTATTTGTATCCTGCCTTTATTATTTTTACAAATAACTCAAGACAGCGAACATATCCAGTATGCTGAGGATGAAGGTTCATTCTCTGAGCTTGTAGGTTGGTTTCCGAATGTTTCGTTACCTGGCTAGGTAACATCTTCAGCAGAGTTTGGGAGATGTCAGTATCAGTGTTCCGTTTATAAGGGCTTCAGGTGTGGGTGTGTCAAGTGAGGGACTTGTGATGGGTCAGACAAGACCTCACTTGACACACCCACACCTGAAGCCCTTATAAACAGGACACTGACATCCCCTAAATTCCACTGAAGATGTTACCTAGCCTGGTAACGAAACGTTCAGAAACCAACCCACAAGCTCAGAGAACGAACCTTCACCCTCATCCTACACCCAAGCTACAGATATTCGTCATTATTGCATATCCAGTATGCTTTCCTCCTATTGCCCCCATACCAAAAACCCTGTGAGGTGAGTTGGGCTGAGAGAGAGAGTGACTGGCCCAAAGTCACCAGCTGGCTTTGTCAGCTAAGATGGGACTAGAATTCACTGTCTCCTGGTGATTGGCCCAAAGTCACCCAGCTGGCTCTCATGTTATTTGAACTCATGGTCTCCCACTTTCTAGCCTGGTGCCTAAAGCACTAGATCAAACCGGCTCTATATTTGGGTCTTGAAAGCAGGTTGGTCTCCTGTTTACATAAGGACTTAATTGTGTGTGGTATAACTACATATGAAGCTATGCCTTGTTATTTCTTCCAGCATTAAGTTATAAAAAAGATGCTTGATTTTTCACCAATCTGGCCATTTTATCACATGTGAATGGAAGATACCAAGAGAAATGAACTTACTTTACAGGAAGCAGAGCTTCTTGCTTACATGCAAGATGAATATTTTAATTCCTGTTTCAGGTCAATATCCTTGCCAAGCGTAATTATATCTATACTGTAAAGTAATTTCAAAGATTGTTGATGTTACAGTATTAATCGTTGATTAAAAGGCTAAAGACAATAAAATTTCCACTTCTGTTATTTTTGTTCCTCACTAAATCACTTTATATGTGTGGGAGAGTATGCATTTGGTTTCACCTGTAAATTTCAAAATAATGATTCTATTGTCTGCTATTGCATAAGATGAGTATCATATATGTAATATACTTCATCCATTGTGTGCTTGCCAGTATCAATACTTATGGAATTGAGTCGGATAGCTTCTGAGAAATTATACACCAAATTGAGCTGTACATTTCAGTGAGAAACTAATGAATTATATAAAGATATCATTACTGCAGGATGGAAGAAATAAAAGACAAGAGGCTATTACTGTGCCATAAAGCTTTAATTGTCTTTTAGTACTGTATATGTCATCTCACAGATCATAAAAGAGCATGATGCATGCATAGATTGGTAAAGTTGCAGGTTGTTAATAAGGACATGTAGCTACTCATTTTTCAAAATGTCATTGGTAAAGTTTGACTCTTGAGCCAATACTATATGAGAAAGAAACACAGCCTTTTCCTGCTTTTCTTCCACTGTTGTGCATATCTACTCAAAATAAAATTGCTGAGAACTTGGAATAAAAAAGGGATTTGTGGGCAGGAACAATACTTTTTTATTATTTCATACTGTACATCAGTAATGCTCCAAAACAATTTTAAAAATGCATGTAGTTAACAAAGTACCATTAAAGCCTCTAATGAGTATTGTACAATACAATACATGTGATTTTCCCCTCATTTATTTGACTACATTTTGATGTGAAACTTCTGACAATAATATAGTATTCATTTTCAGGTATTCCTAGCAATAGCCATGCTCAAGTAGTTTTCTGTCATGGCAATATCTCACTCATGGAAGGATCACCAATGTTGAACTTTATCTTTCTGAACACAAATCTGTTCAACAGTGAAACTGAGAAAGTTGGTAGAAAATCAGTTTTGTTCCATGAAAAATGCAGCTTCTTACTTACTTAATTTTAAAGCTATTATTGGCAGTATAATTTACATCTATGCCATGGAAGATACTGGAACTCAGATTCAACTTTAACCTGGAACATACATTTGATTCTTGTTTTATTTAGCCTTCACTTTGGCCCAGTTCAGTCAATTTTGTTGCACACTCACTTTTTTTTTCTTACAAAACTTTCCTTTCAGTTCCCTATTTTATTTTGCCATGGTCTGGAATGTCTTATAGCATTGCTCTAAAAAAAAATCTTAACTTTTCCACATTTATCCCAAAAATGCTTTTTTCAAACAGCAACTGGACTTTGTTGTTGTTTTGTAAGATGTTTCACTTCTCACCCAAGTAGTTTCTTCAGTTCTAACTGACTCCTTTCCATTCCCCACCAATCAGTTAGAATTGAAGAAGCTTCTTGGATGAGAAATGAAATGTCTTCAAGAAAAAAATGAGAAAGTCCTGTTGCCATTTGAAAGAAGCACCTTTGGGGACAACCATGACCTGGATGACTGAGAACCTCCATAGACACTTTTCCACATTAACATATTTTTCTTCACCAAGTGCCCAATCAAGAATTGGAATCACTCAACACCCAGTCTCAAATTATCTTGATAGATAATCAAAATTCACCCTTGTTCTTGTGCCCAAACTTTACTTTTTAGTTCACATTTACTAATTTGCTAACCTAAGAGTGCCACAACAACAAAAC